ATCGCTTCCACTAGAAACAAGCCAAGTCAGGCCAAGAAGCAACGTGGGCGCAAGAAACAGGAATTACTGACAAGAAGAACTTAGGGTCACCACTGCACACAGCTCTAAGGAGAGCATCCCGATCCGAGGGCGTCTTTGGAATCGGTTTGCAAAAGGCGTGAGGGTCTACCTCGCTTATGTCGCCTGTCAAGTACAAATGATGCGCGGTTATCGTGCCTGAACAACCACATATATCAGTGTATGCTAGCAGTAGCAAGAGTAGTAGTATGAGTTAGGTAGGTTGTAAGGTCGGGAGCTAGAAACTATGGGGCTTGTGCCAAGCTTACCAGCAACTGTTGAGCTGCAGGATCGCACTGCATTTATGGCTGCTGCAGTAGAGCAATGCTAAACGTCCAATGTTAAGATTGTACCCAGCAATTACCCGGAGTTAATATTTACCTCAAGAACGATGCGAAGTTTCGGGAATTCCTCGTTTAATCTCTTCAAAGTTGGCAGGAACAACTCTTCGAGCGAAATGTTGTCTTTCGGTATAGTCCCTGGTACTTCACCGTGTAGGTTTAACACAATACCGTGCTTCTCCATGGCTGCGAATGTGGGCGCGTAGGCCTCGATGAAGTCGCCGGCGACGCCTGATTCCGAATTTGTAGTAACGCCTATCTCATTATTAATACAATAAGCCTCAATTGTTGCTGGAACATGTCAAATACTGCGTACCTTGAGGGTACAGCTTGACCCCTGCGATACCGGCCTTTGCCGCTTCAGCTATTACATCAGGGGTTACCGAGGGGTGAAGCTGGTTAACGTCAGTCAACCGTGGCCTCCAAACTGTTTCGTGGGTGGCACACATAAAGAGACATCAAATAATTGACTTGAGGCTCGATAGCTTGCAGGCGATATTTATACTCCAGAGCAGCAGCCACACTCGTAACAGGCGGTTGCAGATTTGGCTATTAACAACAATTAGTGAACGTTATAGTAGATTATATGTGCTTTTATTTTGGTTACATGCCATGACGAACACAGTGTCTACACCTCCCCTTCGAATATAGGGGACAACTAGGTTCATGACCTACAACAAGTCAGCTCTTGTTAGCCAGATCAAAAAATCAGCAGACACAAACCTCGTCTTGTCGCAAGTGGACATGCATGTCCGCAGTCGGCGGCAGTTCAAGCCAATGCACATCCTTGAGTCTCATCTTTCCAGTCGAGGCGGAAAATAAAATCGTTAGATGGAGCGAAAAGTTTCTCGTGGTCTATTAGAGCCAACGGTGGTTCCTTATTATTATTATATTTGCTGGGTGATGCTTTGGGTCTAATACCCCACCATCTATCTAGGTAGCTGATAAGGGTGTTGAGGAGGGGCAGCAAATGTTTGCGGGTTGGCACGTGATTCTGTTTCAACCCCTGGCGCAGCGAACCTACCTGGTACTGCACAGGCCATGTACTTATTTACATGTAAATGTAGGTAACAAGCAGACCTGTTTAACAAACACTCAGTGCACCGTCAACTGATGATAATTTGAATGGTGTATATTGAAATTATCGGTTCTTCATATTTGACTCAAGAAGGGCATCAGAATCCTGAACACCACTTGCCTGAAGACCCATGATGTCATTAGAGTTTTGGTCTAATAAGTAGGAATGTCGAGTGTATATGCGGGATAAGGCTAGAAAAACAACATTACGGAGTAGCGTAAGCAGAAAACCCGATATCAATTTAGTATAAATTATGCAAGGCTTAGGCAGGGCTCAGGTAAGATTCTGACTTATGTAGATGTGATACAGGGGAGGAAAACCTACATAGGTTACTTAGGTATCTTAGAGGGGTCGGCGGGGCTTGGAGGGGTCAAAATAGGTACCTATCCGCCAGATGGAGGGGCATAAGCAACCTTGAAGTGAATATCTTCCATATTGCCGGGCCTATAGCCGGGGAACAGCGCTAAAGCGTTTCCTAGTTCAGCCGGAACAGGGCCTGCCATTGGACGTCTGGCCGCTAGAATATCTAGGGCTTCGTGCCTTCTCAGCTGGCTGGCTGGCAACATGGTCAGGTCCCTCCAAGAGCCCCACTCCACCATCAAAGTATTCCGTGTCGCGCTGCAGCTCCGTGGCCGGCTAGTCTTGGAATCGTCCGTCATTTCTTCTGCGGCTTTTCTTTGGCCGTTTGCAGTCACAAATCGCAGTTCTATCACGGCTAGTTAGCAGCAGTGAACCAGTCAGTACCCAAAGGCGCCATGGCCTCGATCATTCTCGGCTCCCAATGGGGTGAGTATCCTTCTATATATATATACTACGACAATACCGATACCACCCACTCTTTGCTCTTTGCGCTGTGCATACGGGGTCCATGCATGGAGCATGGAGCATGGAGATGGAGGGGCAGTGATGACACGGTCACTGACGCTGCTGTGTCACCTGCAAATCGCATATCAAAATGAAAATGACATTGAAATTGAAAATAACTGAACTCGTGTACAGGAGACGAAGGCGTACGTTGACGCTTACGCCCAACCCACTTCAGCCCACTTCAGCCCAGACTTTCATCCCTGACTTCATGTGAGGTATGATATTGACTATTTGTTGTACAGAAGGGCAAATTGACAGACAACCTCCTGGCCACCAACTCTTTTGACATCTGCGCACGTGCAGCAGGTGGCCACAATGCCGGCCATTCCATCCAGTACGGGCAATGTGATATCATCGGCGTCTTTAGACAGATCTCGGCTGACCAACTTTCCTGCATAGCACCGGCACTCAGAAGTTCTCATTCCATCTTTTGCCGTCTGGATTAGTCAGCGCGAACACGGACAATCTGATTGGATCCGGTGTTGTTTTTAACGTCGATGCCTTCTTTGGAGAGCTGGCCGACCTTGACGCCAAGGGTGTGCCCAACGTCCACAAGCGCATCCACGTTAGCTCACGGTGCCACTTGAATCTTACCTTGCACGCCGCCATCGATGGACTTTCTGAACAGGCGCTCGGGAAGAGCCAGATTGGAACCACCAAGCGAGGTATCGGCCCATCCTACAGCACGAAAGCCGCCAGAGATGGTTTGAGGATCGATGACATCTATCATGATGATTTCGCAGACAAATTACGCACTCTAGCAGAGGGCTATCGTTCGCGATATGGCGATCTTCTCAAGTATGATGTTGACGAAGAGATCCAGAAATTTGTGGATATCAGGGAAAAGCTGCGGCCATATATCGTTGATGCTGTAGAGTACATGAAGGTTGCACAAGAACAAAAGCGCTCGGTTCTTATTGAGGGTTCCCAGGCTTTGAGTATGTCGAAACCTACCTGAAAATATTTTTTGGGGCTGACTGGGTGTAGTGCTTGACCTCGACTACGGCAGCTACCCTTTTGTTACATCATCGAACTGCTCAGTTGGTGGCTGCATCCAGGGCCTGGCGATCAGCCCCTTTAACATCAAGTAGGTCCCATTTCCCCTCACAGTGACTCTGCCGAAGTAGACAATATCTGCGGAGTCTCTATACATCCTCAGCGTCATGAAGCTTATTTGGACCTCATAGGGACATCATTGGTGTTGTGAAGGCATACGTAAGCTCGATTAGGACACGCCCAATTCAGCTTGAATCATACTAAGCCAGTGGAATGGGTAGACAACCCGAGTTGGTGGCGGTCCTTTCCCCACGGAGGAGCACGGAGAGGTCGGAACGAAACTACAGGATATCGGTGCAGAGATCGTAAGTTACCACTGAATACCCCCTTCTATGATTCCGTGGGCCGAGACTAAAACTTCACAGGGTGTATCCACTGGTAGAAGGAGGAGATGCGGCTGGCTCGATCTTGTGGTTCTCAAACACTCCGCCGCCGTCAATTGTAAGTGTTCTATGGTTGCGGTATATCACCAATATCTGCCTACTAACGCACATTTTGTAGACTATACCACCCTCAACTTGACTAAGCGTAAGAGGACTTAGATCCTACTTTATGATTTGAGGTAACGGCTTACTAAGATATTTAGTTGATGTGCTGGATACATTCCCAACCATTCGAGTCGCGGTGGCATATATCACGCCCGACGGGAAAAGGATCACCAGCTTCCCTTCTGACTTGAACTTCGTAAGTATCAGTATCCCTACTCTGTTCACTAGAAGCTCATGGATTTTCCAGCTCGCGAAATGCACACCTGAGTACATTGATTTTGAAGGCTGGCAGAGTTCCACTCAAGGATTGCGGAAATGGAGCGAATTACCACCACAAGCTCAGAAATATATCGAGCTAATCGAGTCAGAGCTTGGCATCAAGGTGTGTTCGCAGCTTTCCATTCACTTCGTAATTACTAACATGCATAGGTGGGTTATATCGGTACTGGTAAAGACCGCGAGGACATGATTATCCGCTGAAATCAGTACTACCGACCAACTTGGACTGGTTTAGAGTATTGGAAAAAGGAGTTCAGGGGATAGAAGTGATAGTTAAAGACTTCGTTCATGAGGCTTGCGCCTGCTTATTGTCGCACATTTTTGAGTCGTAGCGTCGGGACATTTCGTGTTACTCAGCTGGGGTAATTCACTGGCTTACTAACTAACGACTTGATTCTATGTTTCTCCTAACCGGAGCATAGGCTAAGCTAAGAACTAAAAAGCATGATATAGCAATACAAAGAAGGAATTTGGGAATGAGTACTACCTATATTCTCAATCAAAATTTTACTTAGGCCATACAGGCGAAAGTGAAAACTAACTATGTAATATGTGTCATAATTCCACATGAATATACCAGCTACCTACCTTGTTATGGATGTATGGTCATATGTTACATTCTCCTCCGATAATCGGAGGCTTCACCCAAGTCTCATACACAACTTTTCTTAACGGCATTGGATAAATGCAAGAGTTCAAGGAACCTTTTCAACGGCAACGGCTTCTATCTAGGCTGGATAATAAGGGGACGTCCCTACTCGTTCGTCTACTTGTGATTTAAAAATAAACAGGATATCTGTCTCGTTGTATCCTAGACAAGCAAAAAGACAATGACTCTCGATCGGGGAATCGAACCCCGGCCACCTGCGGCTTGCTATCATGATTACTAAGTTCCACTCCGGTGGAATATAGATCGTTTAGTGACAATGACAAGCAGGTATCCTGACCACTAGACCAATCGAGATTGAGTACGACTTAGTTGTAATGGGGCTTAGGGAGACGAAAAATCAAAGTTTGGTCGAGTTTGTGGGTGGGATCATCCAGCCAAACAACAGATACACATAAAAGCTTAGCTGACGACAACTCATTTTGATAGTTAGAATAAGAAAGCCTTTCATTCAATATCGATTGTACATCCTCATATTGAATTGTTATTTCTACGTTTACATAAAGGGCCTCTTTGTCCGATAAAAATGGACAATAGGAATTGTTTAATGGGTCAGAACCTAGAAATAAAAGGGAAAGTGTGTGATTGATACTATGACCTGAACCAAAAGCATTGCTCTTATAAATTAATCACTAGTACTGAAGAAAGAATGAACTAGAACACACGACCTAAACCCAGTGTTGTAACTTTGTGAACACTAACTGCTAATTGAATTTACTAAAGCTACTCTCATTACACCCAAAACTGCCGTCTGAGAGATAGGAGAGAAACCACGATGTGCAAGGGTTCTAAAGAAGAAATGCTCTGCGGTCACGTAGAAACTCACTTCAGCTCGGCTTGCGGAAAGAGGTGTTCCAGTCCTCAAGGTGCTACAAGATACCTTGACAAGCCATGTCCGCGTTGCGATCCCGAAAACACAAAGGAGAAACGAAAGGCGCGCGCCGCCGAGTTACTATCCCAGTTCCGATACAAAGAAAACGAAGCTGAGATCCAGAGTCTCACGGAGCGGGCCAATAAGTTGAATCTGAGCATGCGACGGGGCATAGCCGAAGCACAACACATGATGTACGGTGCCTCTCGCGACGTACCATCATCCCCTTTATCCCCTCGTCCGGAGAATCAAGACTACACGTGGGGCGGCAGGCCGAGCAGTCGGAGTGGGAAAGCCCCGTGGGATCCTGCCTCGGACTCCGAGTCCGACGACGGACGGCGCGACACGACCGATCTCACAGCAGACGGGAAACACGTCGTCGAGAAGCAGTACAAGCTTATCAACGGCCACTGGGCCCTGATCGCCTACCGAAGGGAACTCCACGAGGTCGACCCCTACCTGCTGCTCAAGCTGCGGGAGAAGCGGGAAAAGGAGCTGGCGAAGGCTAGGAAGCGAGCGGGGAAGAGACGGGCGCGGGACGGTGAGTACAACAGCAATACCAACAAGAACGAGGAAGATTCAAAGACACGCTACGAGAGATTCATAAGGGATGAGAATAAGGCGGTGGAAAATCGGCACAGTATATACCAGGCTCCCACTCCCGGGGCTCAAGTGCGAGAGAAGACCTCTGAGCCCAGTTCGCCGAGGCCCGAGCCTAGGTGTAATATCTCACGCAAGATCACGGCCAGGGAGAAACAAGCAGAGGCGAAGAGCCCCCAGGAACCCCGAGGAAGGGTTCGCGGAGAAAGGTACGAAAGCCGCGCACCACAGGTAAAACCCGAGGCCCAGAAGATGCGCAAATACGAGTCGCGGGTATCACTTCGTCATCCGGCGAATTCATTCCGGGCGCGGGCGGAGCAAGATAGTTTCCGCCCAACTCCGCAGTGGGGGGTAGGCGGCGGCGGCGAATATGAACGGGAGCCTGCGCGAGCCGAAAGTTCGGCGGCGGGGGCGCGCCGTGGTCTGAGGAGGGTCGAGAGAGGTAGTTGGATGGAGAGGTTTGCCGAGGATATCACGTATGGCCCTACCGATTCGGGTAGCGATGCTGACAGTGTCGTCACAGTGATCAGGGCCCCCTTAGCACAGCAGCAGCCCGGGAAGGAGAGTGGTGGTAAGTCTACGACGGATCGCGGTAAGAGTCGGGCTCGGAGCGATAGAGCTGAGAACGAAGAGGATCTGGACATGTGGCACAAGATTGCTGATGAAGAATGATAAGGGGTAAGATCCTGCTGCTGCACAAGTTAAGTATCATTTTTGGCGAGTTTTTGGAAAATGATGAGCCAGATTGTAGAAATCGTAAATTTTGAGGCTTTTCCCTCGACTGCCTAGTTCGAATCTAGTGGAACCTCGATGTCAACCTAGATATATTTCCCTTGTTATTTATTGTATGTATGTATCCCCACGACCTTCCACCCCTTCTATCTATGACTTCTTACCCAGGGTGAATCCCGCTGGAAGCTCGGCCGGTCCTAAACTCTGAGCGATGTCCGTCGAATCTACCGCAGCCCCCAGCCCATCGCCTCCACCTTTATCCGCTCTGGAATCCAGTATGTTCCTTTTCGCCTTGTTGTACTCCTTGATGCGTGCTGTGGCCAGCCTCCCCGCTCTTCGGCGGTCCGTTGGACACCGTAGGAGGGGAACCTGTATGATGGCAGCGAAGACGTCAAACACCTTGTCTACCGGTACATTATGCCTCTTCGCAACTTCTTCGAACGGGAACTTCTCTTGACATGTCTCTGCTACGTCAACTATTAGGTTAGGTGATGGTTTGCGGTATGTGGGCTGGATAAGAGAGGCGGGTGGCTTTATGGGACTCGAGGTCGCACTAGTGTCGGTGGTATTCTTTGGCTGGCTTATCTGAGGTGATTCTGTTTTTCTGGATTGCTCGGGGGTCATCTGTTTGTCATTCTCGGCTATATTCTGTTGCTGGACGCTTGGTTGTTGTGGTGGAGGTTGAGGTGGCGGATGAGACGATAGAGGCACGAATGGGTTTCCGTTGAGTGGCATCATCACAGGTGTGAAATTTGAGCTATATTGGTGTACATTACCCGTAGGCATGGTCAATATTTGGGGGTGTATGGGTTGGCCGTAAGACGTGTGGTAGTGCAGCTGTGGCATGAAGTGAGGAGGGAGAGCTGCATTTACCATGGGTAAACCCTGTGCTCGTGAAAGCTGGGCCTGATGTCTAAGCCGGGAACAAACCTGGCATGGCTGTTTCTGCGAGTGAGCTGAGCTATTATGGTGGTGATGGTTTTCTAATTGTCTTGAGTTAATCCCCGGAAGTGCACCATGTGAAACTTCAGCATAGGGCGAAGGGAGGGGAGGAGGCGGAGGGGGCATTAGAGTACTCTTCGGATCCATCCTGTTACTATGATCGGGGAAAGTTGGAGTACCAAGATTCTTTGAACTGCTAGGGGCAATCAAATTAGGAGTTTGATGAGTATCAAGTGTAGCCTTCGCAAGCTCTGATGTCATTGCAGGCTTCTCAACTTGGCATGGGGGTGTATGTTTGGAGCTTTGGCAGACTATTTGGTTGCTTGAAGGCTTCGTAACGTCGAGTTCCGTGGGTGGACGTTGGCCACCTCGTACATTAAGCATCTCTGGGGAGACTGTTGATGGGAGCTGTTTCGGTGAGAGTTCGGGGGAAGTCGACGGTCTCGGCTTGCGAAAGGGCTGGTCCAGAACGAAGTTCTCTAGCACTGGCATTGACACGCCTCTTAAGGCATATGTGAGTTCCATTGCTTGTATATCGGATGGTAGGCCGACCATTCCTGTGCTCAGTCGTCTTTCCGTATCTCCCAGATCGCTGCCAGGTATTTGCGTGGCTGTGATAGAAGGTATCGGAACAATGTTAGAGGTAGCAGGAGCAGTATAGGTAGCCAGTGGAATCATTGGTTTTTGAGGCATAGATGTTGCAGGCTGCTTTTCACTGATTCTGCGTCTCTTCACGGGTTTCTCTGAGATGAACTGGATATCATCGTCATCTTCACCAGCCGGTCGTTTCGAAGGAGTTATAGCAGTGTTAAGTGGACGCTGGTGGGCATAATACCGACCTAGTCCATGTAAAGGACCTGGCGGGACTGGATTTGGGTCCTGAAGACTGAAGTATGTTGGTATCATATTGACAAACTGTATAGAGACAACAGTCACACGGAAGACAATATGACGGGTTGCATAAGATCAACATATTTCAACCGTGGAAGGTAGAGAAACCGCTCGGGCTATTTGTATTAGCATATGATGCTCTTCTAGAAGTGATCTGAAACATGAAATGAAAAGCTGGGGATCCAAAAGACAACTTAACATTTGTCTCTGTGTAGCGTAGTTGCATCTCTTTCCTCTTTCACATATATGCGGGTCGTTCCAGCTCATAAAAGCCAGAGAAAAGGCAAACTATCACTCCAGATCAAGGAGGCTTTGCTATTTGCTGTACAGAGGAACAACGTGAACTGCTTACGCAGTCAACTTGCACTGGTGCACAGCATAGCACCACCATTCAATGCGGATAATCTCGTCCCAGGATGAACATTCTCAAGGAATAGAGAAAATGTCCATTGGGATGGTCTCAAGAAGAGGAACAGCACAAGCACTATTTCAAAGGAGCAGTTTATGGAATGGAAGCCCATAAGATGCATCACTTTTGGAGCTGTGACAGTATCTATGACCACGACAAGCATATATCTGCCTGTATTTAACTGAGCATGTGAAGATTGGGAGATATTTGTCTGCCTGAGATGCATGCCAGAGAGAAAAATGCACAGGGCAATACATAATAGACGTAGGTATATACACTAGGTACAGTATATGTATGTATTCTGGGCGGGAAGAACCTTAACCTTGAGCCGCCTAACAAATTCTATAATATGTATGTATGTATGTATGTACAGTAAACGCAGGAAGGCTGGGTAGGTAGAGGTACTTACCTACCTTAACTACATGTAAGTACCTCACATACTTGCAAGGTACTACATGTACCTACCCGAAAAGTGCCTCCTCTAATGCTACCGCGGGGCATTGCCCCACCAACCTAACTGTATGACAGCTCCAATCAGCCTGTGAATTAACATTTGCATACATAGCAGACCATCCCTCAAGTGCCTGCCTCACAACAGGTATATCAATTAATTAACCAACCTAAGGACAAACAGTGGCTGGGTGCGGCTCTACAAGTTCTTCTTTGCTTTCGGCTGTGTCCCACCCACCCCAGTTCTGTATCTGCATCTACATCTTATAATATTAGCTGTCGGCAAACATGGCGACCGCTGCAGGAAATCCGCTTCTGTCGATCCAGAAGTCGTCCGACTCTGGCCTCCAGGCAGTTCTACATCCTCTCGTCCTCCTCACCATCTCCGATTACATCACGCGC